GTTGGTGGGGAGGAAGAGGAATTGGCTGTCATATTGGCTGTCTGTCTGCACCTGTACCTCTTACTACAGAGAGATCCTTTGAAGAAGTGATCTAAAGAAATCCAGAGAAAATTGCCAAGGTTTGTAACAGCTTTCCTCCTGGCAGTCTGTGGTTTATTTATACTGTAGGATGTGACAGGCAATTCCTGGTGCCTCAGCTCTGTCTGAAGTGAGAGTGATCGCTGGAAACACGACTGATTGCATTTGCAGCTTTCTTCCCTCCATTGGGGAGAAGTTTTGAGTTTGAACTCTCCCCTCACTGAGATCTTTGAAGTTTGGATCTTTAAAGTCATTCTCCATGCCAAAGACCTGTACTAGTGCAGTTGTCATCCTTCCCATCTGAGGAGGACTGGACCAGCCTCCCTTCAGAGGCTGTTAAAGCTGCTCGTTTCATCCGCCAGAGAGGTCAGCAGAGAAAGACATAAGTAAGTAATTATTCCCTTCCTCTCCTCCCGGTAGCTGAGTGAGCTCTGGAAGTTGAAACATCATTAAATCTCTGAGCAGTGTGGACAGTCTGCAAGCCAGCTATGGAGCCCATGTCACATGGCAGAGGGAGGGCCGAGTAACAGGTGACATTTAGAAACTAATTAATATTTGTGACTAACAATGTGCTGTTAGTAAGAAAACAATTCTGTCCGCTTGTGAATATTTATGATGATGACTTTCAACACTGCTTGGATCATGCAATGCTTTTCCAGCTGCTGCACCTCCTCTTGTGTCACAGCATTTCACACCAGCATGAAAATATCCTCTGCTGTGTGGATCTGTCCCACAGGGTGGCAGCTGGCTGAGCTGTGCTGTGGAGTACACACTCCTAAAAGATTATTCAGTATTATATATATTCAGTATTATAGATATATCCAGTTCAGTATTAGTGGAATGCTAGATCCCAAGCATTTGAGATGTTCTTTGCTGGTGGAGTAAGCCATACAAATTAGCTTGAGATTTCATCCCATTAAGAGCCAAACCATGCACAGAGGTAGTGCTATGTTTGAAGAGAAAGCAGGTGTTAAAGGTTGTTCTACCTCTTAATGTTGTGTGTGAGTGTTTTACAGTAGATCAAACTTGCCTAAATGTAATCTTCATAATGCTTTCATTTAAAAAGCTCCCTGTGGTTTGTATTTGTTGAACTGAAAGAGCAGAATCTACTTTGTAGCTTGGTGAGGAGGGGTGTTCTATTGAACATGTGTTCACACTGTCATTTGGGAAAGATAATAGGTTTTTAACCTCTGTCTGTGTTAGACTGATGTATTTATGGAGCTGTGCCTAGGCAGGTAACCTTGTGATGCAGGTTTTTCACAATTTGCCATTTTCTTGTGATAAGTTGTGGCTGTTCTTGGCCCCTTGCAGTGCTTGCAGCATCAGCCAGCATGGGAACTCACCAAGAGATGAGGAATTTCTTGCCGTTGTTGATGCTGCATAGAAAGCTCATGGCTGCTGGTGTTTGTTCAGTAAACACTGTCTCCACAGATGGAAAACTCAGCCTTGAAGAGTTCCAGAAAATCTTCCCAGCTTGGCACGTGGAAATTGGCAAAACCCATGGAGGTTGTGCTCATGTTTTTAGCAGCAGATGTGTCCAGGTGCAGCTGGAGGTGCTGAGTTCTTGTTCAGGGTGCTGCAGGGGACGTGCAGCATGGCACTTACTCTTGGCAGCCTCCCCACTGCTCCTGATGGCCTCGAGTTTAACTTGTGGGAGGGGGGAAGCTGTGTGTACTGCAGTGTGCTAAAATTCTGTTGGTATGGTCTCTCTTTCGTCACTCGAGGCCTCCAGCAGCCCAAATTAGCAGATGGAGACTGCAGCTTGCTGCACGGAGGAGGTTATCTCCAGTGAACTGCCATCACCACTTTCGTCACTGCTGATTAATTTTTTTTGTTAATGTTTAATCCTCAACAGCAAATACCTAATGTTTATATGCCCTTTCCCTGGATAAGCAGAACATCTCCTTTATACAGTCAGTTAAGACATCCAAAACTGAATCAGTGTAAAATTTTAAATATAACTGTCAGATGAACAGACGCAAAGAAATTCAGAACAGAAGTGATCACTTTGGTGTGCACAGGTCCTCTTGTGGTAGGGATTTCCAGGAATCTTCAATTGCTTATTAAACAGTGCTTAATATGACTGAGAATATTTTCTAACCTCATCTTAATATTTTCAATGTAGAAGAGGTGGTTTGGAGTTCTTTTGGTGGTTTGTTTTTGGGTTTTCTGTTGGTTTTTGTTGTTGGGGTGGGGTTTTTTTGTGTGTATTTGTTTTTATTTTTTTTAGTGATATGTTTCCTCTTCCTTTTGTAGCAGTAGTGTCACTGTGGTGTAGCTGAGAATAGTTGACTTGAACTGCCCCTGTTACACAAATGCAAAAAGCCACTTAAGGTTTTGGGAAAAAGAAGTTTCTAGTGAAATACAGGAGTGTGTTCCATGAATGACTGCAACTGTGCATTAGAATTATAGCAAATTCTATAGGGTTTCCAAGGAATAGGTTTGAAAGAATGCATAAAAAGCAGTATAACAATTAGCAGCAGAGACTGATATATTTAAATGAAGTCATTAATTTAAAGTGTTGGCTTAGAGAAATTTCAAGCATTTTTATGCCTTTAATAAAGGGTTGCTTTTTAAGTAGCTTAAGTATCCTTCTCTGTATGCAGTGTATCCTGGGAATTAACAAACCACTTACTGCTGGATAAATTCCACTTGATGCAACTGCCATTCCTGAAGCAAAGACTGATGAAGAGAGTGGAAAGAGCCAGTACTGAAATGGTCATCCTGTTAGTCTGGGGGAAGGGAGAAAACAAATCTCTATAATCTCTGTTCTGTTTATTTAGTATACCGATCTGCGCCATGGGGCTCAAGGTGGATGTGTGTATGCCTAAAAGAGGGCCTTCTTCAAATTTCAGGGAGCTTGGCAGGAGGTGCCAGGGTGCTTGTCTAAAATTCTCTATTGAGGGATGGAGACCTACAGTGTGGGACAGCTGAAGGTGGAAGTTGGTGATCTGATATTAAGAGAGAGGTGCTGGGGTATAAAATCAGGACCCTCTGTGAAAGGGGGAAAAGCTTAAGACATGTTCTAGACAATGGAGCTTGCAGGGATAGAAGAAAGGAGGACAGTGTGGTCAGAGTTACGGAAAACGTACTGAGGAGCATTGTGCATAGATATTGGCAGGGTAAGACCTCCAGGTTTAGAACAGGAGCACGCTCAGAATAATTACAGCGAAGGCTGCCAGTGTGTGCCAGAAGTAAATATAGTAGCGTAAGCACTGCTACAGAGTCATTGAAGTCAATGCTGCATAACATAAATTGCATAATATATTTGTTTGTGAAGGTTATTAGAGCGCAGTTTTAAATGGATCCGAGTCCTTGGAAAGGTGAGTGTATTCTGGTTCCCCGGGCAGAGGTTTCCAGTACATCCCAGTTTGATCTGGGGGCAGACTGCCAGCACGAGGGGGGAGGTTGCTGTTCCCCTCCTGCCAGCTCCAGTGCTTGTCCGAGCAGCTCCTGAGCTGGTTCCACACAAAGTGCCAGGAGGAAAGGAACTGCCGTCTCCCCTCAGAAATGGATAAAACTGGGGGGATTTTTGTTGTCCTGGTCAGCTGAGTTGGTGAGGGGATCTCCAAGGGATGTGTGCATGAAGGGGTAGGTGGAGGCATCTCTGAGCACAGGGGGCACTGGCAGCCAGGCTGTTCAAGCCTCATGTCCCACCTCAGAACTGGAGCAAACCCTCTCCCACCAGGGATACGATGGTCAGTACATGATGCGGCAACCGTCAGACACCCAAATTTCAGGGCACTGTCACACTCTCCATAAGAGGACTGAAACTGTTTACAAAATGTGTGCTTTGTAGATGATAAAGACTAAATAATGTATTCTGTGCATTTGCATAATTTTGAATCACTTATCCTTCTGAGGGCTGTAGTCATTTGGCTTATGTTAAAGTATGCTTAGTGGTGTAGTTGAAGCCATCAGCTGTGGATTGAGTTGACACTGAAGATAGAAGGTATGTTTTTAGGGAGACCATGCACGTTCCCTGTGATGTCCCTGGCACCCCAGAGCAGTGCCCTGAGGGCTCAGAGGTCAGACAGGTAGGAGACACGGTCAGTGCTGTGAAAGGTCAGGGAGTCTTTCAGAAAGAGCTTGACAGCCAGAGCAGTCGAAGTGGGATGTATCTCCATGGTGATGGCTTGCTGGGTCATAACCTTAGAAGGCATTTGGAGAGAAGCTTCTGCTCTGCACTGCGTGGGATGGAGGGGGTTACCAGCTGAAAATGCTGGAGAAACACATCTTGGGGCAGTTGCAAGGTGACAGCGAGTCACAAGGATGGGATTGGGCAGATGTGGGGTGATACAGGAGACAGGTAGTAGCAAAGATGGGGAGTCACCGGTGAGCAAACTCCAAGAACTTGCTTGATTTGGGTGGGCAAATGGGCCCTGACAGGGAGGTTGTATAGTTCATTTTTTATTGTCAGGGAAATAAACTTCAGGGAGAGGGAAAAGCTGTTTAAGCTGCTGGATCAATGTTGGCATGAAAACAAATGGATAAAAGCTGTTCAGGAATAAGTGTTAGGCTGAAAGTTTTTTAACTACTGGAGGAGCTCAGCTCTGTAGTTAGAATTGGATGTGTAGGCTGAGGAAGAACATTGTCAGTATGTGGGGCTCTGTTGCTGTCATTTGGGCTCTTGGATGTGATACCTGTCGTGGAGGGCTAAGCTAATGATCTGTAAACATCTTTCCTGCTTGCATCTGGTGGTGGATTATCATGATGGTGTCATGTGCAAGGAGAAAAGGGAAAATTGTTCCTTGCTGTCATGATTTTAGGTGTGCTGTATGGGAATATGTGCTGAAGTGAGCTGCTTCTTCCTCAGGGTGGAGAATTCATGTCATTAAGCAACATTTTAATCTTTGCTGTATTTTTAATCTGTGAATGTCTTTGCTGTTTTGGTCACTTACGACACATATTCTTATGTTGTTTGTTTTTCCCCTAGGTATTTTTATGGCCTCTGTCACAGTGGTGTCTCAGTGTCTTCCAGGCATTTATGGATTTATTCTGAGAACGTTCCTGTGAGGTAAGGAAATATTATCACTTGGTTTTACAGACTGGGATCTGAGGCAGAGGGAGACAAAGGTTGCAGGAGTCTTGTAACATAGCCAGCAGTCAAACACTGATTGCCAACAAGTTCATTATTGCCCTAATCCCATACCCAGCTACCTATCTCTGGCTTTTTTTCTTTCTTCCTCTTTTTACTTCTTTGTTTTTTCTTTTCCCTTCTCTGGTCTGAGTTTTAGTGACAGTAATCTCCAAGGAGCTGGGAGGACCTGTGGAAAATATGATTAGGGATACTGGTGTCCTTTTTTTAACATTGTTACTTATGAGTTGAGATTCCTTTCTAAAAATATCAGGAGATCTGTTTATGTCAAATTATTAGCATGTTTAGACTTCCACAGATAAGCTGCCCTGCCTTTTTGAGTCAGTAACTCCTTTATCCTACCTGTCTAGGCTTGTGGCTGGTGAATTCTTACCCTGCCTAAGCTAATGCCTTCTCAATCACCTAAAGCAATGCCAAGAATTTCATCATCCATGCAAAGATCTGATTCATGTCAAGACAGGTGTAAAGTTTCTCAAGCACACTTATGTATAATTACTGTTTAACTTTATTTTTCAAAGATCTTTCCAAGCCAGCTAAAATGTGCAGCTTTGAGCTCCCAGATTCTGCCAGAAATTGGATTTCAGTACCTGATTAGTGATGCTGATCCCTTTCAAATGTATTGCAAAGTTTCTGTCATGTGTGTGCACTGAATTACAATTTCCATCATAAAATCAAATATAAAGAATAACAGCTTGAAAAATGTCTTTTTTTTTTTTTCCCCTTTTAAGTAAGGAATTTTTAAATTAAGTCTCCCTTGAGCCCTTTTTTCCTCTTCAAGATGGTATTTAAGGTATGGCTTTTACTACTTAAAGAATTTTCTTAGAGTTCTAGCAGTGTTGTAAGTTAGGAATACACCAGCAGGCTCTGAAAAATATTTTTATTGTATGTAAAAGCATAAAAAATATTAAAAATATAACATTGCAAAAAATATTTAATGTAATCTTTCTAATTTCACAATCTGTAAATTACATGTACTAGATCACATTTATGCTCTTTATTAGTGTGTATTACGTGTCCTTGTGTCCCCAAGAATAAGGCCCTAATGACTCATGAACTGTCTCAGAGTGTACTAAATAAGATTAAAGAGCTGGCCAGTGACCTTAACAGTCAATTAGGCTATATGTTACTCAGCCCAGTATTTGTTGAGTGTAGAAGAGTAGCAGAAATTCATTAGCTAAGATGCTGATGCCTGAATCAAGCAAGATTTCTCTAACTTGAGAACTGGTGTTGCTGCTTAAGCAGAGCTAGAAGCACACATGGTAGGTGTGTGTGTGTGTGTGTGTGTTTGAAAGTACTGCTGATGTTGTCCTGGGGTGGGGAAAAGCTGCTCCAGGGCTTCTGGGCTCAGACCTTGTGGAGGAGATCCTGCCGGCACCTGGTGTGGGTTGGGCAGTGGCAGGTGCAGCTGGAGGTGGTGCTCAGGGTTTGGGATGTGCTGCCTGAGAGGTTATGAGGAGACAACATAATGGGAGGGCTGCTTTCAGAAACCTTGTTTCACAGCAGCAGCAGGGCAGGATGTGTTGGTGTGCTGTATGGCATGCTTGGTTTTCCCCAGAGGTGAGCCCGGGTTGGCGTGATTGCACTTGGGTGCAGGCAGGAGGGTGAGCAGGAAGGCTCCAGGCTGCTGTGCCCACTGAAGAGCAGAGTTTGAATACTGGATCCCCTGCTCCCTTAGCTCAGGAGACAGGACACGAGCAGGTGCTGAGGATGCAGAGGTACAGACAGGTCAGATTCCCTGCTGGCCACCAGCTTCCTTGCAGGCTCACCTGTCCCATGGAGCTGTCAGCATGAAGGCAGGCTGGCAGTGGGCAGCAGGGCTGAGTACATCCCGGTGACAGGCAGACTTGGCAAGCTACAAACCTCGACAGTATCTGAATTATGGTAGCATCTGTCATGCTAAGTTCACATTTCTTAACTAATCATCTGCATTTTGTTTTGTATTGTGTCTGGAAGCATCCTAGAGCAGTCTTGGTTTGGAGATGGAGAGTACCTGGGAGGGCACTATGTGGTGACAGAACTGAACCAGGAGAAGTGACATTACACAGGAGCTGAGGCAGCAGCTTGGTCATGCAGCTCCTCAGCAAAACAGCTGTCCTTGAGGGCTTCTTAGTTTTATAGCTCTTATTTTCTGGTATGTGCAGTTATGAATGCTTTCAGCTGACCCTGGGAAAGTATTCTGTCATTCTTAAAGTAAACTCAGGTTTCAGGAGAGAAAAGATGACGGACTCAGTCAATAAAATATGTGGCTGAAAGTACAGTTTGAGTGGCAAGCAGTAATATCTTTTAAAGTAAATCAACTTTCTGGAACATAAATTGGGTAGAATCACCCTGTTCTAGGTCATGGTTTATCTGTAGGGTTTTCTTTTAAAATAATTTCCTTAATAATTATTTTTGGGGAGGGGATAGGGGAGCCTAGGAACAAAGTGGATGAATGGGAGAAAAAAAGAAAAGGAAGCCTTTTCAATCACATCAGGATGAATCTAAAGCATCAAGGAATGATGTTACAGGAGAACCCCTGAAGATAAACTGTAACCTAGATTAGCGGAATACAGATTAAGTTTTCAGGAGTTTTGAGACAACACTGTGTCCTGGAGCAGTCTTTTGTCATTCATTTAAACAAAAATTGTTGTATGATTGCATTTTTAGGGATATACAAAAATACCTATCCATTTGAATGTTACAGTCATGAAGTTGAGAAATTTATCAAAGTGAATACTGCTTGAAAAGATTAAAAGAAAAACAAAGTAAAGATTTTTCATTAGAACTGGCTATTGCTAGGGAAATACTATACATATATGTGATCATGGTTTGGGGGATTTTATACAAGCAGCATTGCCATTGAAACTGTAGTTGAAACTGAGACTTTTACACAGTTAGGTTTTTTCATTCTGACTTTAAAGTGTAAAACTGTTGTCATTGGGTCACATTGTCCTCTTACAATACTTTGAACATTTTTATTCCTTAGTTTATTTACATTTTGGAAAATGTATTACGATACCATATTCTAATTGAAGGGTTGTTTTCTGTAATAGAGGTTACATATTTCCAAAAAATGTTGGCACAATACTTCTGTGAGTCAAAGTGATTTAATTGTGTGTTAATGCCATATTGGCTGGAACATACTTATAATTATGTTACCCCTTTTCACTGTAATCCAGCAAACAGAGTTTTCTGGCTGTACTTAAATGGCAGGCTCAAAAGGGCATTGGCAGAATTTGTTGGCATAGTTCAGCCTTATTTATATATGACTATATATTTTTTGGACCTAAGAGTCTTTGCAAGTCCTTTTATCTCACAAATAAGTCATTTCTTTAATATACTGGAAGCCAAAGGCTACTACTGCCCATTTACCTGGCTTGACATGGTGAGTGTTGGAGAATACATGTGGAGATGGAAGGGTGGGGTTTAAAGCTCCAGATTTGCACTTGTAAAATTCCCTTCCGCTTTGAAGGTGTTTGCTTTAGCTGTCTACAGGGATACATATTTTCAGAAGTTTATTTATGAAAAAGAGGCTCAGGAGATGCTGGAGATGTTACAAGATTTAAACATATTTGCAAAATTGAACATGAGCTTTAGCCCCCTGGTCTTTTTCATTTCCTTTTGTATTTTATGATGAGTATATTGGTAGGTGGCTTTTGTGTTGTCACTTCACCTGTTTAATTTAAATTTAGTTATCTGAGGGTTGTGCAATAAAAGTAGAATCTCCATAACTGGCAACATAACCTTGTCATCTTGCAGAGTCAGCACTTGCTCATGCTCTGGCGCAACGGCTTTGAATAGCTGCCACCCCATGTGTGTGTTTCCTAAACCCGAGACAAGTGCTGAACTCATTAAAAATACATGTTATATAAGTTAATGTGCATAAGGAGTTTTGGTGCTGAGATCTCCTTTGAGGCTACATTTAACTCTAATTAACTTGGTTTCGTTCTCTCTACTATCAGCACAGGCTTGGCTGAAACCAGGCAGTATTGGTTAAACTGTGGGTTTGAAGCAGAGCCCAGCGGGGTGATGGATTAAAACGCACGGAGTTGTGGCTGTGCTGGGCTTCCCGGTGCCTGTGCCAGCTCCCGGGGCTGTGCTGGGCATGAGCACCAGCTGTGCCATTCCTGGGGCACAGAGCCACGGCAAGCGGATCCGCATCCCATCGTACTCTCGGGCAAAACTCGGGATTTCTAAAGAGGCCTGAAATAATGAGGTTTGTTGAGCTGTGACTGAACAATTGCATGACACCAAACTCCTCTGACTAAAATAGAGTCTGAATTTTTCCACTAGTGGAATAAGGAGCAGCAGCAGAGACTTAGCAGTATTTTACTGTTCTGACTGTTCTCTCTATTCATACCTTGTTTTTATTCATCATTAACTCGAGGATGAGATCCAGGGATTCTGCTAATTATGATCCGTTTTTCAGGGGAGGCAGGCAGCAAGACAGGGATTACTGATGGTGGCATTTGCAGTAGGGCCAAGTACTAGCAGTATATGGATTGGAAATATGGGGTGGGTTTTCTGTCCTGACAGTGTTGGAAATCAAGCTTTATATTATGTCCAGTAAAGTAGGTTTCACTGAAAGCTGATTATAGTATTTTGTGGGAGAAGGTTTTCAGTGTATCACTCTGGAAGAAAATACTCACAGATTCATATTCAAGGGTAGGCTGCTGTATTTTGTGTAACTGGAGGAATGCATGGATTTATTGCATTTTCATCACAGCTAGCAAAAGAATATGATTTTCCCCCTTCTTTTGACTAGTACTAGGGCTTAAGTCTTGCAAAAGGATTTTCTAGGTAGAAATACTGGGTAAAATGATTTAAACACCAAGTGGGGTGGGAACCTCCACCCAGCAGCTTTTGAGTGTTCATCATTTCTTGAAAATTGGACCTTGTAAAAAACTTCAAGTTGGGTACACTAGAAATAGAGACATTCA